ATTTTTTTTTTTTTAACATTCTGACTTTGGTGTGCATTTGAAATGCTTATTTTCCTGACTTTTCTAGTGCATTTTATATTACCCCACTTTTATAATTTTACTAAAATAAACCTGAAAACAAAAAAATTTTTTTAGTCCAGGTGGGCATCTCCATACAAAGGTTAGAACTGTAGTCATGATGAGACATTCCTCAAACTTTACCAAATTTCTATCCTTAACCAGACCTAAACAATAAACAAAGAGGACAATTATTTCTTGCACAACAAACTTGCCTATGCAGGAAAGAACTGCTCTGGGAGAGATTAGTAAGCAAGCAGGAGGATAAAGTAAAAGATACACACTGAAAAACGTTTTGTACCTGTAGTAGATTTGAAAAAAGTAAATTTAGCATTTTTCGTTAAAATATAGGAACAACTGGCTCCAGGTCTTGGTATGTTATTTAAGAAGGGGGAAGAAAAACACAACATGCTTTGTTTAAATCTTAATTAGAATTCGTAATTAAGGTCCACACAGTACCTCAGTTAACACAGAGCCCATAAAACCCATAGCCCACGGTGCTAAAGGTGTTCTTGGGCAAGAAATGGCAAGATCGTAACCTCTTGCTGAAGGGCTGTTGGTAGAAAATCTAAGCCAATTTACTAGACTTTCAGGCTTCTCAGTATATCCCATCCTACTGTGAATGTCTATGTGACTGGTAAAGGCTAAGGCCAAGGCTGCTTTGCGGCAAGAGCAGGGTTTGGTTGAGCAACATGGTATTGTATCACCAGAAGCAAAGCCAACTCATAAACACTAAATACCCTCCTTGTCACCTACACCCTCTTCCATGTGGAACTTCCAGTGCCAAAGAATTCTAATGTAGACTCCTTTATCTACAAGCCCATGTTAAGGGTTATGTAGATGTTATGGTAAGTCCTTTCATTTCTTCCTCACTGTCCAATTCTATAGGTAGTAGTGACATGAGGCTATTTAAATTTAACTGAATTTAAAGTAGATAAAAAATTCAGTCCCTCTGTCCCAGGAGCCATTATTTTAAGTCCTCAGTAGCTACATGTGTAGTGGCTGTACTGGATAGATTTAGAACACACCCATCATCACAGAAAGTTCTATTGGCGAACACTGCTTATACTCTACATGTGGGGGTCATCTTATTCCCAATAGTCTGTCGGCAGGTATTGGCATAGAAAGATCAAGTGACCAAAGGATTGATGACCAGTGAATCTTGTAAATAGGATTTAAACTGGTATCTCTGGGACCTTAGTCTGAGGATCTGATTTGTTCTTCTCTAAATACCATCTTAACGTAAAAAGTGATTTGTGTCTTTCAGTTGCAAATTACCTGCCAGCCCTGTTGGTTTGAGCTAGTGAGGTTTTGCCAGAAGTTCTCTTAGTTTAACTGGGCTACATTACTCTTTTCTTTGTATGTATGCCTTTACGTATTTTAATTCAATAATTCGCATCAATGTAGCAGCCAGAAATTCCATTATTACTCAATATATCCAAAATGAGTATGTGGTGAGCTAGCTTAAACATGTGTTTAGTAGCAAAGGTAATTTTTATTTTGAAGAAATGGAAGTGCTAAGACTAAGAACCGATCTAACAGGGTGAGAAGCAGTGCTAAGGAGGAGAACAGTAGTGACAGCAAACACACACGCATGTATCTGTTTACTGTGTGCCAAGCATGTCCTAAGCGCTCATTATACTTGTATTAATCTATATTAACTCTTAATTCTTGCACTTACTCCATAAAGCATTGTCATGTTTCTCTATTTTAGAAATTAGGAAATTGAGGAGTAGAGAGAATGAAGTAGCTTGTCCCAAAGGTAGAACCAAGATTTGAACCTGGGCAGTGGGCCTCCAAAGGCTATGCTGAAAGTCACCAGGCTATACAGGAATTTCCCTTATTGGTGGAGGACACGGTCCAAGGCCCCAGTGGATGCTTGAGGCCATGGATAGTCATGAACCATACATAGACATATACACATATATGCTGTTTTATCCTATACATACATACCTATGCCAAAGTTTAATTTATAAAATAGGCATGGTAAGAGATTGATAATAAAAGGGAACAATTATAACAATATATTGTAATAAAAGTTAAGTGACTGTGGTCTCTTTCTCGAACATCTTAGTGTATGCAATATTTTCACACCGCAGTTGACTGAAACTGTGGAAAGTACAGCCACAAATGAGGGCCTACTATGCTGCAAAGTCACTAAATACTGAGAAAAACCAGTCCCATCTGTCTAGACCTAACCAGCTACTGCCCTTTGTTACTCATCTTTTTAAATTCAGGGAACACGCTCACTTCATAATTAGTATGCATACATTAGTGTATTGAACTGAAAAGTTTCCCCCCTACCACAAGTAACTGTTTAATAGTTAATGCCAAAAAATGAGGTAGACATTATACTAAACATAAAATCAGAATTCTACTCTTGGATCTAATAGACATATGGAAATAAAATAGTCTTTTGCTTCATACAATTATTTTCTTTTTTTTGAGACCAAGTTTTACTACGTTGCCCTTGGTAGAGTGCCGTGGCATCACAGCTCACAGCAATCTCTAACTCCTGGGCTCAAGCGATTTTCCTGCCTCTGTCTCCCAAGTAGCTGGGACTACAGGCCCTGCCACAACGCCTGGCTATTTTTTGGTTGCAGCCATCATTGTTACTTGGTGGGCTGGGCTGGATTCGAACCCGCTAGCTCAGGCATATGTGGCTGGTGCCTTAGCTGTTTGAGCCACAGGCACCAAGCCTATGGATTTGTTTTTAATAATTTCTTACCAAGTTTGTCCCAGAGGCTCATAGTATACCAAATCATAAAGTCATAATGACATTTATTAAAAGTCCATTTTTTTAAAGAACATAACATTTGGGAAGGTCTCACAGAGAATTGGTGGCTTCTAAGATTTGCTTCTTTTTTGGAGACTTCTACCTTGAAATAGCACCAGTCTGAAATCCATATTATAAAATTTTATCCTGAAAATAGCCACTTAATTAAAAAAGAATTAAGGGGTACAAGTGAATCTTTCTAAGAATAGAATGTGAATGTTTTAAAACAATAACTGAGAAAATGACATGGTTGACCAGTTTGATGGAAGTATTTTGGATTGCATGTGAAAACCCCACACTGTACTCTAGAAGTGCATTAATGTACATAGTTACCATTCAATTAAAAAAAAAAAAAGAATTAAAAAGATTCCCCCCAACTTAAGCACGTAAGAAACATTTTGTCTCTAGCTTTTCAGTCACCTGACAATGAAACCCTAGACTGTAATCAGAATCTAGTCTAATTCAGTCCCTTTCCAAACAAACGAAGGTCTATGAAGGTAAAACGACTTGCCCAGGACACAGAGCTAATTCATCAGAGCCAAAAGTGGAAGGTAGGCTTTCTGATTCAGCTCTTTTTGCATACTGCTCTGCCAATTTTTCCTAAGGCACTATGTTCCCAGATGCAGACATGACTGTGCAGGTTGTACACTGTATACAACTGGGCTGTGTCTAAAAGGATTTCATTCATGGTAGACACTGTAGATTTGTACATCTTTTATAACCAAGTTCTGGCTGTTAGCAGTATAAAGTGTTGTGCTGGGGCAATAGCTCATGAAGACAAGCAATCCTGGGGAGAAGCAAGTTGCCAATCACATCTTACTCTCAGAGGCCACGTGAGAAAAAAAAGCCCCTCATTTTTTAACTTCCTCCATTCTCCTTCGTTGACTTTGAAGACAAAAAGACAAAACACAAGCCAAGATTGAGAGATTTATTTAAGAAGGCAATTCAGGGACTGTACCCTGCTTCCTCTTAGGAGCTGCATACAATCCCATTGCCCGCATCATCAAGGTCTGCAATCCTCTGATCCCTGATGTCAAGAAATCATGATCCTGAAGCACTGCATGATCCCCAATCAAGAAACAGCTAATAGCTGGGCGTCGTGGCAGGCGCCTGTAGTCTTAGCTACTTGGGAGGCTGAGGCAAGATAATTGCTTAAGCCCAAGAGTTTGAGGTTGCTGTGAGCTGTGATGCCACCAGCATTGTACCGAGGGTGACATAATGAGACTCTGTCTCAAAAAAAAAGAAAAATGGCTAAATTATATCTAGTATACTGTGGTAAGATGAGAACATACAATATGTTTTATAATGGTCTTCAACCCAGTATTAAAATAGAAAAAAAGCAGTTTTCTGGCTTTCCAGAAAACTTATTCCCTGAGCATCCCAATTAATTGAGGTTGTGTTATTAAGAGACTGTTTTTTCTAGACAATCAAGTCTAGCATTACATAACTCAAGTAGAAACCATTCAAAGGAAAAGATCTACCCTCCTCAACTTAAAACATTGAGTTTTAGGTTTTTTTTCACTTTCAGAAACAATGTAAAATGCCTATATTATACATAGTCACACACATATTAGAAAAAAACCAATTATTAATCCCCAATTTTTCTATGTAATTGCTAATTGCTCTTTGGGTCAATTAAATACTAAAACAATAAATTAAAATTGCTTTAGCACAGGAAGAGACAGATAAATGGCTAATATAATACAGCAGGTTCTTTCAACCCTGCTAGACTTCAGGTTCCCGTAACCCAGGGGACGGGATGTTGTAGGGGACACTTTCACGTCCATCAATAGAAGGACTAATTTTTTACCACCATGACATAAACCTTGAACCAACCGGCCTGCATTTCCCAATATCTAGCTCAGAATTCCTGGCCTATGTCAGAAAGCAAATGGTATATTTTAGAAGAGAAACAGTCAAATTGACTAATTCAGTGATCTTGATATATGACTCTTTTTGGAAGAAAAGGAAAAAACTTAGGAACAGAAAAAACAAGTAAAACCAATGAAAATGTTAAACATGAAACAGAAGATTATGGGTTAACAAGAAAAAAAAATCTTCCCCGCTGGTTAGGAACCCAATTATTTTTCAAACTAAATTTTTAAGGGAAAAAAGCCTATTTTCTAAAATAATACATTACAGAAATCAATGTAATAACAAATGGACTCTACTTTCTAACTTTCACATTTAATTTATATGAAAAAGGAAACTATTTCTGCCAGTTTGGTTGATCCCTGCAAAGTCTGTAGTGCATTAATCGCATGGTTAAAAGCGTGTGTAGGCATTTCTTTGTTGTTGCTGTTGTAATGGTTGCTGGGCTTGCTGCTGTTGTAGGCGAATCTGCTGGGAATAAGGATCCTCCAGGGATTTTACAAATATGGTAGTTCTGGGACCAGTCTTCCATACGATTCCATTGGCATCTTTAACTGAAGACTCCACTGTAATGTTGTGTGTTCCAAGAATAGCAAAGTTCAACAGAAACTGAGTACTGAAGTAATCATTATGAGGCTCAACCCTCTGTTCCATCTCATTGGTCATATTGTCAATGGGTATCTGGAATGAAAGAATTGTCAAATAACGACAGTAGGTAGGATTGACTCAATGCTTACTATGATCCAGGCCCTGTCCTAAGAGCTTATTTATTCCTTGCAGAAACCCAAGAGACAGGTATTACTATCATCCTTGTGTTTCTAGATGAGGTGGCTGGGGCAGAGAGGTTAAGTAATTTCTCCAAGGTGAGAAAGCTAATGAGAGGTGGAACTCAGGCTAACTCCAGAGCTTGTCCTCTCAACTATTATTAAGTGAAACTGCCTCCTGACTGCCCTTGAGGAGAACGAGCGCCCAGAGCCGTTTTCAACCCCTTTACACACTGGCTTTTCTTCCTTGCTTCCTGACCCCATCTCCAAATCACTATCTTTTTTTAGTCTGTGAAGATAGATATATATATATGTGTGTGTGTGTGTATATATATATATATATATATTTGAGACAGTATGTTGGCCTTGGTAGAGTGCTGTGCTGTCACAGCTCATAGCAACCTCAAAATTCTTGGGCTTAAGCGATTCTCTTGCCTCACCTTCCTAAGTAGCTGGGACTACAGGTGCTCGCCACCAACGCCCAACTACTTTTGTTGTAGTCATTATTGTTTAGTAGGCCTGGGCCCGGTTAGAACCAGCTAGCCCTGGTGCATGTGGCTGGAACACTAATCACTGAACTATGGGCGCTGAGCCTCTGTGAAGACATATTCCGAAGAAACAGGATGAAACCACCTGTTCCAGGCAGTTTAAAATCTAAAGGTTGATAAAAGGAATATGACACTAATTTAACCTAAAATTTAAGTTAGGTTTTTCTTCTAGTTTGTCTGATTTTGTATTACTTAAGTAATGTAGTGATTCCTTACTCTTAACCAAATTAACTTTAGAACTTGCATGCTGCTCACTTAATAACCAGAGTCTTGTTCAGAGGGGTAGTATGGTATTTTATGAAACACGTTCATGGGCTCATTCACTTATTTACATAAACACTCATGTCTTTGTCCTTCTAACAATAGAATAAAACCTGCTGGTGTACCCCTTAGATGAAGCATGGTAAGAAAAAGACTTATTCTGAGAAGGCATATACAGGTAATCTTACTGGACATTTGACCAGGCTCTATGTTTATGTGTGTGTGTTTGTAGTATAATCAATCATATAAATGGGCCCTGCAGCTTTGTATCTCAATGACTAGTTATCAAGAGGTCACTTCTCCAGAGACAGTTATTTATAACATTAATGAAATGAAGTCACCAGCCAGTGCAAGATCTTAGAATTATTTATAATATAGATACTTTCTTCTCCCTCATATTCAACATTTGTAGGGCTTTTAATTCCCTAAAGAATATGCCTATCGGTTCGGCACCTGTGGCTCAAGTGGCTAGGGTGCCAGCCACATACACCTGAGCTGGTAAGTTTGAATCCAGCCTGGGCCCGCCAAACAACAATGATAGCTGCAACCAAAAAATAGCCAGGCGTTGTGGCAGGCGCCTGTAGTCCCAGCTACTTGGGAGGCAGAGGCAGGAGACTCAC